GCGAGTCCACATAAAGCCCAACTTGGCACGGGTGTTTAGCATAAGCAAGGTAAGGCTCTGGGCAGGTGAGGATGGGTGGTCGTGGGGGAGAGGGAGGGGGGAGGAGAAGGAGGGAGAAGGGGAGGAGGGGAAAGAGGGAGGGAGGAGGAGAGAGGGGAAGAGAGGGAGAGGAAGGGGAGAGAGAAGGGTGAAGAAGGGGAAGGGAGGAGAAGGAGGGAGGGTGAAGGAGAGTAGGGGTAGGAGAGGGGGAGGGGAGGGAGAGATGGGGAAAATGACATTGATAAAGACAATATATATAAAAAGACAGATAGACGAATGAAGACACAGACAGACAAACAGACACAAAGTCGGAACGTGAGAAGAAAGAAAGGAGAGGAGGACAGGAGGAGGAGATAAGAGAAGAGAAAATCGGCAAATGAAGCTTGATGCCAATATTATTTTAATTATCCTCGTCACCGCAGGGAGATTTTGCGTCGTCGTTGTTGTCATTGATGTTTGTTTGTTTGTTTGTTCGACTGTCAGTTGTCAGTTTATAAATATTAGATAGATAGATAGATAGATGAAAGATGAATAGATAGATAGATGCACCCCCCCCCTCCATTATGGATATAGATTGATATATACCCCGATACATAGATTGATATAAGCTCATTTTCATCCCATACTCCCATTATAGATAGATAGATAGATAATAGATAGATATATGCTTATTCCCCCCATGCGACGAAGCTAACCTCCCCGACATATAAAAATCTCCCTCCTATCCCCCCATTCTTTTCCAACTTTTTCATCATCCTTCCCTATCTCTTCTCCTCGTCTCCCCGCTCCCTCCCTTACTCCTCCTCTCCTCTCCTCCTTCTCCACCTTCCCTCTCTCTCCCCTCGTCTCCCTCCTCCCTCCCTTACTCTCCTCTTTCCCTTCTCCTCCCCTCCTCCCTTCTCTTCTTCCTTCCAATCTCTCTCTCGTCTCCTCCCTCCTACTCCCTCCTCCTCTTCCTCCTCTTCTCCCTTCCCCTCCTCCCCTTCCCCCTCCTCCCTCTTCTCTCATCCTTCCCTGTCTCTCTCTCCCTCCCCTCTCTTTCCCCCTCCCCCTCCTCCTCCCCTCCCTTCCCCTCCTCCCTCTTTCTCATCCTTCCTTCTCTCTCCCTCCTTCTCCCTCCTCCCCCTCCTCTCCTCCCTTCTTCTTCTCCCTCCTTCCCCGTCTCTCTCTCCTCGACACCTGTAAACACTCGACCTTGAGACGAGGTGTAAATACGATTGCAAAGGAAAAATAACATGCCATTCAACAACACGCCTCGTCTTGCACTCCTGATTGACGGCGAGAGGAGTGTTGCATCCCGGGCGTCGTGTCCGTGTGCAACTGTGAGAGGAGAGAGAGAGAGGGAGGGAGGGAAGGGAGAGGAGAGAGGGAGGAGAGAGGGAAGAGAGGAGGAGGGAGGGGGGAGGGAGAGGAGGGAGAGGGAGGGAGGGAGGGAGGGAGGGAGAGGGAGAGAGAGAGAGGGAGAGGGAGGGAGGCGAGAGGGAGAAAAGGTCGAAAGGGACAGAGGGAGTGATGCTGGGATGTGCATATATGAATATGGAATGCGTGGTGGTGGAAGTGGGAGGCTGGGGGAGGAGAGAGAGGGAGAGAGGAGAGAGAGAGAGGAGAGGAGAGAAGGAGAGAGAGAGGAGAGGAGAGAGAGGAGATGAGAGAGAGAGAGAGAGAAGAGAGAGATGAGTGAGAGAGGAGGTAAAAATGAGAGCAGAGAAGGGTGAGAAATGAGGAAGAAACAAGAAGAGAGAGAGAGAGAGAGAGAGAGAGAGAGAGAGAGAGAGAGAGAGAGAGAGAGAGAGAGAGAGAGAGAGAGAGAGAGGAGGAGATGAGAGAGAAAGAGAGAGAGGGAAGGAAGGAGAAAAATGAAGGATAGAGGAAGTAAAAAAAAAAAAACGCGGCAGATCTCGCTTTATGACAAGAAGCTCGTATTAACATTCGCAAAATCTATTGACTCTTCGATATATATTTTCGAATTTAAAAAGTGCGATATTTTTCGTCGAATGCATTTTTGATTGAAAAGCAGAGTTAATCACGGGGGGAATTCGGGTCTCCGAGAGGGCGATTTCATAATGACTTTGATAAGGAAAAAGACCCTTATTGTGCAAAATAGATGGCCATAGACCTCCACCGGGCCGCGTTTATTATTAAATAGGGGAAAAAAAGCTCTATGGTCAGGTTATAAATCTATTCCCTCATGCCTCATGCGCGCGAAGTGGTGAGGGAGGTTGGAGAGTGCCTCGTGATGAGCCTCGGGCGATGGCTGTGGTGGTGGTGAGAATGGTGATGATGGTGATGGTGAAATTGGTGATGATGGTGGTGAAGTTGATGATAATAGTGATGGTGGTGAAGTTGATGATGATAGTGAATGATGGTGAAGTTGATGATGGTGATGGTGAGTTGGTGTGATGATTGGTGATGTCGGCGATGGTAAGAGGGGGGGGGCGGGGGCTGGCTGGCGGTCGGTGTAGGGAGAATATGGAAGGAGGGAGAGAGAGAGAGAGAAAAAAAAGAGAGAGAGAGGGAGAGGGAGGAGAGAGAGAAGAGAGAGAGAGAGAGAGAGAGAGAGAGAGAGAGAGAGAGAGAGAGAGAGAGAGAGAGAGAGAGAGAGAGAGAGAGAGAGAGAGAGAGAGAGAGAGAGAGAGAGAGAGAGAGAGAGGAGCAGAGAGAGAGAGAGAGAGAGAGAGAGAGAGAGAGAGAGAGAGAGAGAGAGAGAGAGAGAGAGAGAGAGAAGAGAGAGAGAGAGAGAGGAGAGAGAGAAGAGAGAAGAGAGAAAGGAGAGGATGAGGAAGGGAGAGAGGGAGGTAGGAGGGATGGAGGGAGGGGGGGGTGCGTTATATGTCATCTCGTTTTCTTTTGATGGGAATTGCAGTTCGTTTTCTGTCAGGTTGGAGCAGTGTATTACAATTTGAGGAGGAAATTAGGCTTTGGCAGCGGCGGAGGGGGGGCGGTTGTTATTTTTGTTCCTCTTCCGCCCTCCTTCTCTCTCTCTCTCTCTCTCTCTCTCTCTCTCTCTCTCTCTCTCTCTCTCTCTCTCTCTCTCTCTCTCTCTCTCTCTCTCTCTCTCTCTCTCTCTCTCTCTTTATATCTATATATATATATATATATATTATTATATATAATATATATAAGTATATATATATATATATATATATATATATATCTATATCTATGTATGTATATATTCTATATTACGCTATATAGTTAGATAGATCTATGCCATCTCTCTCTTTTTCACTTTCTATCTCCCTTTTTTTCATTCTACCTCTCCACCTCTCTACCTCTGTCCCTCTGTCTCTCTACTCTCCTCTCTCCTTCTGTCCCTCTCCCCTCACACACCCCTCTCCCTCTCCCCCTCACACTCTTCCCCTGTCCCCTCTCCTTCCCATTTGTTCCTCCTTCCTCTCCCTCTCCCCTCACACTCCTCACTCCTCTCCCTCTCCCCTTATACTCCTCTCTTCTCTCCCTCACACTCCCTCTCCTTCTCCCTTCCTTCCCTCACAACCTCCACTCCCCTCCCTGTCCCCTCTCCCTCTTTCCTCCCCTCACACTCCTCTCTCCCTCTCCCTCTCCTCTCTTCCTCACACACCTCACTTCCTCTCCCTCCCCCTCGCCCTCCATTTGTCCCTTTGATGTGGTGTTTTATTGTTCGCGGGGAAATTGGCCTTGAAATCCAGCGTGCGGGCGGCGGGCGTGGAAAGCGGGGGCTATTTCGGGCGTCCGAGAGAGGTGGGCGTTTGATCTCCCTCTTCCGCTGTCGTCGTCGCCCACTTCGTGTGATTTGGAAGGGGGGGCGGGGGGGGGTGGGGGTGGGGTGGTGGTTGCGATGTTGATTGTTTTGTTTTAGGGTAGGGGGGAGGGTTGGGGAGGGGGAGTTGGGGGTAGGGAGGAGAGGTGTTTTTTTTTTGTTTATTTAGTTCTCCCTCTTTAGTTTGTACTTTCTTTTTTCTTTCTTTCTTTTTTTTCCTTATCTGACTTGCTGATCCCTTCTTTCTCTCCTCTCCCTCCCTCCCCTCCTTTCTTCCTTCCTCCATCTCTCTCCCTCCTCCTCCCTCCTTCCTCCTATCTCTCCCTGCCTCCTTCCTTTTTCCTCCTGCTCCCTCCTCCTCTCTTGCCCCTCCCCTCCTCTCCCTCCCCTCCCCCCTTCTCCCTTCCTCCCCCTTCTTCTCCTCTCCACTCTCTCCTCTCTCTCTCTTTCTCTCTTGTATATATACATATGACTCTGTATTATTAGGAAATGAATATAAAATCTAGGAATACTCTAAATATTTTCTGGTATTTTCACTGCTTGAAGTTCAAAGGTCAAATGCTTATGATGAATATTAATTCCTGTGTTTCCTGTGAAATTATTTCGTATATGTATGTATTTCTGCTTTCCTTTCTGTCTTTCATTTCTTTTCAACTCTTTTTTTTCCTGACCTTTCTTTCTCTCTTTCGCTGTTTTTTTTAAAGTTAGATTCTTGTTCTTTGCCTTTTTGTCCCTTTGTTCTTCCTCTTTTTTAACTCTCTCTCTTGCTACATTTCGTCCTTGCTTTCGTCTTTTTCTTCTTCTTCTTCAACACTCCCCTCTCATGCCTCTACTCCTTCTCCTTCTCCTCCTCCTCGCCCTACACACTCTCTCTCTCCCCCTTTTCACCCTTCTGCTCCTTCTCCCTCCTCCTCCTCCTCTCTCTTCCGCCTCTTTTCCCCTCTTCCCCCTCCTCCCCTCTCCTTCCCCTTCTCTCCCCTTTTCCCATTTCCCCTCTCTTACTTCCTCCTCCTCCATTTCCCCTTTCTCTCGTCCCCTCTTCTCACCCTTTTACTCCTCTTTCTCCTTCTCCCCGCCTCTCCTCCCCCCCTCTACCCCATTCCCCCTCTCCCCTCGCGGTGGTTATTATTTTTAGGTCTATCTCGGGAGGAGCGAGAGTTTGTCTTCGTTTTCTAAATATTTGGCGTGGGCGTGAAAGTGAGCCACCGCGGCAGCCGCCCAC